AAAAATAATAATGGAAGGAAGAAATGAGGAAATTACAGATATTCATTGCCTTTCCCATGGTTAAAAAAAGAGAAGAAATTCTTCAGGTTTAAAAAATAAACATATAATTTCAAGGGCCTGAACCTCAGTGACCTCCATTCTTAAGATAAATAAATGATCCAGCATTACATAACGGAAACTGTGAGTTAAGATGAGAAAGTTGGAGAGAACAAGAGAAAAAGCAGAGCTTTCATCCCTTCAGCTGTTCCCCAGGAAAGAGTTGACATGTCAGAGTTTTATCTAGGAGTGGATATTCTCCACTGGAATGTTAGCACTTTAATGGAATTCTGAGGAGTTCAAATCATTTCCCCTTGATGTCATCAAGTATAGAGTGAAAAATTGATGAAAACCTTCTTAGAAAAATAAGAATATTCTTCTATCTGGTTGTTAAAGGAGGTCGGGACAGTAATGCTTCTATTTCTGAGAAATGATGAGATGAAATTTAAGCATAATAATTATAGTTCATAAAATAACTTGAAAATTACTAAAGAGTTACAATGAGTTTTGAGTTTTAGGGTGTCTGAACACTGGTACAAAAAATAATCATACAAAATAACGTATTTAGTTCTGCCAACTAAATAACCTGCCTTATACTTCCAATAATCCCCATCCCTATCAAGGTTTTCCATTCTGTCCAGGATCTTCACTTTTCAAAAACTTACAGGGTCCTATTACTTTTCTTTTCATTATTTTTGTCTTTCAGAAAGAAGAATGACTTCTACATTTTTAAATGATTCCATATTTTTTTTCTATCTTAGCTTTATGCCAAAGGAAACATACTGGAGAAAGTTCTTTGTTCTGTATCTACTCCTTCCCAACTAATGAATGGGTCAGAAGCTAGTAGCATATGTAGAACATAGAACATAGAATAACAGGGTTAGAAGGTCCTTGGAAGTCTTCTAGTCCAATTCCCTGCCCATGCAAGATCCTATACCATTCTAAACTTTCTTTGGGATTGGTGGGATGGATATACATGATCATAGAAAGAATAACAGAATAACAGAACAGAATAATAGAGTTGGAAGGGATGTCAGAGGTCCTCCAGTTCAATCCCTTACCCAAACAGGAAACCCTATACCATTTCAGACAAATAATTGTCCAATCTCTTCTTAAAAGCCTCCAGTGTTGGAGCACTAACAATTTCTAGAGGCAAGCCACTAATTGTTTTCACTGACAGGAAGTTTCTCCTTAGTTCTAGGTTGCTTCTCTCCTTGATTAGTTTCCATCCATTGCTTCTTGTCCTGCCTTCAAGTGCTTTGGAGAATAGGCTGATTCTTTGCGGCAGCCCCTCAAATTTTGGAACACTGCTATCACATAATCCCTAGTCCTTCTTTTCACTGTCTTTTTAATTCTATGAAATGGTAATGTAGTGTTCACATAGCAAGTATTCTATTTTTAGCGTGACACAAGTCCATTGTAGAAATCTTTTGCATAACATGATCACTATTTCCAGTGTGCTATTCGAAAGAGACCTCTGCAAAGGATGAGACATCATGACATATGTTTCAACTGGAACAATGTGACCTCCATCCAAAAAATGAAGGACCATTATGGCGAAAAAAAATGACTGTACCCCTAACTACACTGAGTAGCCAGTCAAATGAAAATAGATAGTAACACAATTTGCTTAACAACCTGTTGTTTTTTTTAACATAAACAAAGTAATGATTCTCTTGGTTCTAAAAATTTATTTGGAGGCATATACATACATCCAAACAGATTTTCTAGATTTAGTAACTATTCAGTGTCTTTGTCAAGTAATTGTGCAAACAACAAAAGATATATTAAGTAGCACTACTGCAAGCCAGAGGAGATACCAAAATAAAATCATTGATGGGGTGACCTTGAACAAGCAGGCCTGCTTATACATTTAGGAAATACTCAGCAAGTCTTGAAAAAAGATAAAGAGGGGGACAGGCTGATTTCCTTTTTTCAAAAGCCACAGATGAACACCTTTTTAGGTTTCCAGATGAGAGGAACACTGAAAACATTTTTTTCCTAAATCAATGAATGTTGTGAAAAAGTTCAAAGACTCTTAAAAATCAAAAAACTCTATCACCCACCTCTATCATAGGCTTGCAATGGAATGGCTTGCAGGGTGCATAACAATGGATATTGGAAAACATAAATGAGACAGAAGTTCATAGAACAGTAGCTATGAAACAGAACTTGAAATATACTTATACCAAAGATTGATTTCCTGATAAATAGACAGAGAACAGAGAGTTTGAATATACTATCAAAATCAAATAGAGTTACTGCGTAGGTATGTTTTAAGGTAACAAAGTTAACAATCAAATAATGAAGACATTATTCTAATGCATTGGATATACTGTACGCATTTTGTGCAAGTATGATGCGGCACATGGCTCCTCTCACTCAGAGCATACAATCTGAAACAGAAAATTAAAACTCTCCAGACACCCCTATTCCCCACACTCATGCTGGGAAAACAGATGATGTGACCTTCCTTTGGTGCATTTTGTCTTTAAATGAGACCAGATGACAATTCGGTGAAGGTTCTCTTTTGAAAGTCTCCCTGGGAAAGGTATTTTAAAAAGAGATGCTGAAGAGAGTGAATACTGGGTTTTAAGTTACTCCTCACAGAAACAGTAGTACAGCTGTTTGCTAATAATGGGATCAAACAATGTTTCTGACCATTCTTCAAATCTCAGCAATATCACCAATCTTTGCAAGGCAGAGAAAGGCAACACTGTGCTGACATTTCAGTCTGAAGACTCATAAGTAATGGAAGGCTGTCAGAGAGCCAAAGTTATTAAACTCACTAATCTGTCTTACAAAGGTGTTGGGCCCAGAAGGCAAGGTGCAATCTTGAGACATTCCCATTCCATACACTTATTTCTTTTCTTTCTTCAAAAAAAGAAAGAGAAAATGTACTGGAAAAAAAGACAATTTTATTATATCATCCAGTGTTTAGCTTGTTAGGCCTAATGTTCTGAGGAGATGAGGGCCAACGAAAGCAGTCAGATTGTGGTCTGCTCAAAATTAAGGCCAGCTGATAGAGTCAACAGCTTTCTATTTTCTGGATCTCCTGGGTCGTATTGGAACTAATGAAAGTGAGCAAGCTGACATATTTCCCATGAGAAAGGTAGAACTCCTTTCTTATTAAGAATAAATTAGGGCAGAATCCTTTAGGAAGGGGTGTTATATCTTGAAATGAGATATTATTCACACATTACCTTTTACATTAAAGTTTAAAGGTTTGACTGCAAGACTTCCTAATACTTGGATTCAAGATATCATGATTCCTAATTGTGTGAATGTTGAGTCTAGACATAAAGTTCAATATTAACAGGGATGGGGGGGATTGTAATGTATTTAATATTTAAGTATTAACTATATTATACTTGCAATACAGTTTCTTCAAGCACCAACAGTCGTATCTGACCAGAACCAAATACTATATGCATCACAAGCTTTCAAACACTATTATAGATATACCTTATAGTTCAAAATCAATACAGAGCAACTTAAAATAATGACATCTAGGGCATGTTGCAATAAGAAGCTCTGATACCAGAAAGCTACTGTCACAAATGCTTCTTTCTTTTTTTAACAGTAACAGAATTGGAAGGGACCTTGGAGGTCATCTAGTCCAACTCCTTGCTCACGCAGGAGACCTGTACTAGGGATTCGAACCGCCAACCTTTCTGATCGACAAGATCAGTGTCTTAGCCACTGAGCCACCTAGTCAGGCTTCTGACCATGACCAAATTGGGTTCCGATGATTTTTTTTTTTCGTGGCCGATTTACACTTCCGCGCCTTTTTTTTTTTTTTTGTAAGTGCCAAATTTCCAAAATTAGGTTTAGGTCACCACGAAATTGGGTTGCGACCAAAGTTATGGAACGAATTATGGTCATGAGCAGAGGTTCTACTGTATTTGCAAAGTATCCTTTCATTACAGGACTGTCAGGCTTCACTCTATAGGCAAGAATAAACTACTTAGGCAAGCTCACAAGAATTCCGAGAACTATAGATAAGTAATAATTACTGAAAAAATGGGAACCTATAGCCAAGAATTTAGTAATTTCTCTGATTCACCAACAAGACCCCTATATAGAAACAATGTTCAAACTTTCTTGTCTTTCCCTTTCCTTCCCACCTTATATAGGAGACTATATTTTATGTGAGTTGGACTGTCTGAATCCGTGCTTGGTTTGTCACATTTCTATCATGTTTTTTTGCCCCCACTGACTATGTGAGAACTAACTTGTACAGGAGAATAAATTCCAAAAATCTAAAAAGAATTGGCAAATGTGCTTGGCTAGGAGTTAAGGAGCACTCTTGGTTTGCTAAAGTGGAAGAGGTGAAAGCAGAGATGAGACCTTGTATCTATGAGCTGTTTCACAAATGTCTAGGAACTGCTTGAATATTATAATTGAAGTCAGTGCAGTCGTGGGATTCAAAAAATTTTTACTACAGGTTCTGTGGGTGTGGCTTGGTGGGCGTGGCATGGCTTGGTGGGCGTGACAGGGGAAGGATATTGTAAAATCTCCATTTCCTCCCGATCAGCTGAGAGGCAGAGAATAGATGGGGGCGGGGCCAGTCAGAGATGGTATTTACCAGTTGTCCAAACTACTCAAAATTTCCGCTACCGGTTCTCCCGAACTAGTCAGAACCTGCTGAAACCCACCTCTGATCTGTTGAGGGTATTGTGAACATTTTGTGATAATATCAGTTAGAACTAAATCTGCCCTTAAGATCATTTAAGAACTAAGTGGTGGATTGATTTTTCCAGTATCCTACGTCCCTCCAAGTGTACAGGGAGGAAAGATAACCACCATATATACTGGGGCATATGGGTAAATATACCCCAGTATAAACAATTGCATTAAGTACACAAAACTGCAAATATCAAAGGAAAAAGTACACCATCATAAGTTCAAGCCATACTTTAGATGCAAGATTTATCACATAATTTGACTCCAGTAAATATTACCTTCTTTTTGCTGCAATAGATCTGCCATTTCTTCTCTGGTGGGAGTGCAAACATTGCCTCTCTATTCTTATCTGTGAGATCCAATTCATCCTGGAGATGGCAAGTGAAAAGACAATGTGTGAGCAACATCACCAATAGTTTTTCAGAACTGTTTTCTGAGCATCATTATCACCTAAGCACCTAGAGGTTTGTAATTTTCTCAAATAATTGATATGGTAAAAATATTCCTTTATATTCCAATGCAGTAAATAATATGCTCAGTGTACACTTCAGCACAGAGGGTTTCTTGTACATACATAGAACATGGAAAATCAATTTCTTTCCATCTAAAGAGAAAAAAAACTCTTGCAGGGTCCTATTAGCAGCCATATCAGAAAGCTCTTAAACAACCTTGTTAATTAGATCTTGGCACAGTTCATTTTTGTAAAGAGGAACGCAAGTTTCAAATAAAAGCCTCATTCCCCCACATGTTTTTAATATTTCAAATATGCATTTTGCCCTAAACGTTTGCTTTCCATAATCTATATTCATATATAGAACCTGCAGTGGCAGTTTCAGAATCAATGAGAGTCTAGGATCTAGATCAGGGGTGTCAAGCTCAATTTCATTGAGGGCTGCATCAGGGTTGTGTTTGACTTCAGGGGGCCAGGTGGGCATGGCCAGGGTGGACATGGCCAGAGTGGGCGTGGCCAGCTCGACATCACTCATGCCAAGGGCACCCGTGGTGGCCCAAGTGCTCTGCGAAAACAAAGCTTGGAAGGGCCACGTGCAGCCCTCTCAAGCTCCATTTTTGCTGGCAGAGGGTTGCAGGAGGCCGAAAAGAGAGCTCAGGTCAGCTATGCACAGCCCTCCCAAGCTCTGTTTTTGCTCGCAGAGGTGCCACGGGTCAGTCTTTCACTGCTTCCAGGGCAGCCCTGTTGGCCAGATCTAAGCACCCACGAGCCTTGAGTTTGACACCCCTGATTTAGATCCCTTTGTTTGATTTGCAAACAAGCAGCAAACATATAAATTTAATAACGACATAGAACTACCTCTCTCTAGAAGCAGTTTTAATCAGTGATTCCAACAGAAGAGAATATATATGTTGTTCAGGGTTGAATTGTGGAATCCTTGGTGCTCTCTGAGCTTGTTTGCTTGCAAATGTTTCGTTGTCCAACTAGGTAACATCATCAATGAGACTGAATGTAAAAGGGTCCCTGTTTATATATACAATAGTAGCTTGCTTGCAAGTGTTGGTGGGGGTGTAATTTCTTCTTTAGTAGTTCCTTGATTGGGATATTATTTTCTGCTTGATTGTTTGCCTGGCATTAATCCTGTTTATCAGGGTGTTGGCTGCTAGAGAGGATGTGTTTACGTTTCCAAGTCTCTTCCAATAATATCCTCCTAAACACTGAAATAGTGCAGGCAAATTATGTGCCAGATTTTATTTTTACATAGCATTTGTTAACTACTTTACTGTTATCATGTAGAAATTAAAAGCTGTACTATATAATATGAAATGTTTATTACTATAAAAATCACCTCTTTCCTTAATTGTCCTGTTTTTAATTCACATAAAGCATCTTAGTTTTTCTGATTTTAGAAAGGGAAAGTTAAATAAAGGAACTCTCTACTGAGAAGGAAACCAAAATTAAATGACTTCTGAGGTACTGAAATTAGTTTTATTCCAAATTTCAGACAATGCTTCTTTAAGACTTGGACCGCTTTTTTTGGAGTCAATAACTTGTGAAAACCATGAACTAAAATTGCACACTGAGCTTGGTAGCAGCTGCTGACAGATTTAAAGGCCCACAGAGATTTCAGCTACAGAAAGGTAAAAAAAGAAAAGACAAGGCTAGGTCATTGCCAAGAGCCCAAGATAAAAGAAGCCAGGGGGATTCCAGTGTGTTGATGCTAGTGGAGGTGGCAGTGAAGATATTTCAGGTATATCTCCATAAATGTGTAGGAAGACGGCAAGCCATGTGGAAATGGTTAGTGAGAGTCTTTTCCAAACAAGAAGGCAGCCAAGCAAGGCAAAGCATTTTATCTTCGCAATACAAAATTAGAAATGCTTGGGCCAGGAGCACATTCTTGGAGAGATAGAAAGAGAAAAGAGAGAAAGAAACTGCACATCACAACTTCAAATGAAGAATCTAGCAAGAGGTCCAGTGGGAAAAAGAAACACAGAAGCACTTATGCTTTTGGGTGTTGGGGAGACTAACTTTTTTAGCAGACGTCCTGCACAAATCCACAAGTACAAGCTAGGCCACCTCAGCAAAATTCTCTACCAAGTCACCACTGCTTGAGGGAGGGAACAATCCGAGAATTTGTTTACTTGGCAATGATCAGCTAAATGGATAATATTCCCAAGTCATAAAAACATTTAAGAAAGTGAGACATGGCTACGTCAATAGTTCAGCTAAGGAACATCAACTGTAAATTGAGAATTTTCATAATTGCCCAACCTTTATGTAAGAGGTAGGGTAGACATTGTAAGTGATTAGCCCTCAAAGTACTAGTTCAACCATTCTCGTTCTGAAGCTTCCAAGCTAAGCAGGGTCAGGCTTAGTAAGGACTTGGATGGGAGACTTTCAGGAAGGACTGCAGGTGGTCCAGGAAATAAAAATATATGATATAATAAGAAAATAATAAACCCTTTCTGTATCGGTACTACAAAAACTGCAAGGATGTGTCCATAAAGTTTCTAGGAATTGAACTTCAAGAATATTTATTATTCATTCATTCAGCTATCAAACTACCTATCTCACAAAACATAGTTACATTTGGTTATGCATGGTTTGAATCTGTCTTTTGTATAATTTTTGTATACATTTGTTCTACTTTGTATACATTTGTTCTACTTTGCAAGTTAGTTTAAGCAGCACATACTAAAACAAATACTTTTAAAAAATAATAATATATAAACTTAGAGCTGAGAACAAACAGGAAAATACTGACAGGTATAAGCAACAGAGACATCAGGTTGTCTTTCAAATTGGAGAAAACAGATTAAAAGATGAAACATTTCCAGAACAAATATGTAAAGATAAATGATATTTTACAGGTGTCTGAATTTTATAAGTCAGTTCTTCAATCAAAACATGAATGCAACACTTCATCTTTTAAGAAAGAACCTACATAACATTATATATTAATGATAATAGTGGGTGCTATACACTATATTAGAAATATTTGCTTGCAACAATATGCACATTAGGAAAAATGCACAAAAAAATGTCCTATGAATCTACCTTGCAGGAAAAGAACACAAGTTATGATCAGGAAAGAATACAGACCAAGAGAAGTTGACATTGAACAATTTACCAATCTTCATTTGTGCTCCGTACTGTTTATTTAGAACACAAGGCTATACATCTGATCTATCAACTGAAAGCCATCAACACATATCATCGGTCTGTAAATTGCACTCAGGATAGTTGTAATTCAGATGAAAGTGCCAAGCTGTGTAAACTCTCTTTTTTCGGCTCTCTGTTGTGCTAAGAGCCTTCTTTCAAGCCTGAAGAGAAAAGCCTTGATAGAAGATGATGAAGTGGAGAGGGCACTTTGCAGAGACCAACTCAATATTGCAACAGACTCAGTAGCTTCAATCCATTGCTAACCTTGAAGCCTAAACTGGGATTCCAAATAGAAATACACAATATAATTCTTCTCCAACAACTGTTGTGGTGATTTTCTAATCATATGTGAATTCTTCTTGGGTAGAAGATTGAATCCAGAGGAATCAGCTGCTTGACTCTCAAAAAAGCATTTCAAGATGTAAAAGCTGATATAATGTTGATTAAAAAAACATTTGCCAGGTTGACCTCAGGGAGAAGAGGAAATAAAGGTCCTCCAGTTAATGTTCCTAATGTTCTGTCTTTTTTTCAGAATTTCAATTACCTTATTCTGCTGTATGTTATTTACTGAGAAAGGACATGGCTGGTGGAAAAAATGTTTCCAATCCAGATTTTGAAATTAGATTGGCAAGATTCAAAATGGCTGAAAAAAAAACCCTCATGAAAATCAATATAGGAAAATCAGCAGGCCAGAAACGTACAGAAGTATTTCAGCTCTTGAAAACTTTCTTCCCCTATGAAAAATGCTTCTATTTTTGTACCTTAATCTCAGGAGTCTTTCCAATTTTTCAGGATTTTACTTTTTCTATGTGTGAGTTACTTCATAGTTCCAAATTGGCAGAGGATGCTACAATATTATAATATTTTGCTACGCTTCTCTTTTCAATCCTGTAGCTTCCCTGGTTGCATATATTATTTCGTTTTAGATAGACAGAAGGACAGACATAAGTTTATCTTCATTCCTTTACAAATGGTGGAACTAAGCTAAGAACTGGATCAAGTTTGCTCAGTATTGCCCAGGAATACTAAGGTTGATTGGACCTTCCATCCTTCCAAGGTCGGTAGAATGAGGATTCATATTGTTGGGGGCAATATGCTGACTGTCAAGCCTGAATTTGATTGGGGTGTGGGATTGTTTGTATCCTTGGGTATTCTGAAATGAATTCAATTTGACACAGCTGAAGGAGGATAGAGCCATCAGTCAAAACATCATTCCTAGCTATGAGTCAAACACATTTCAATGGCTGGTTAACTGGAGGAGAGAACTTGCCAAGCAACCAGCACCCATCTTGGTTGGACAATGTGACAGTTTGTTTTGGAAACTTGAGAAACTGAAAGTTATACTGGGGTGAAAAGCCCCAGTAATGGCTTTTCACCAGTTAGTGCCAAGATGGTATATTTAAATAAATTTTTCTTTGAGAAAATGGAATGCCTCAGAGTTCAATTTGTGATGGCTACATTACTTGGAACCTGACCCTGATTCTGTAAACCACTTAGAGAGTTCTGTAAAAGCATTACAGAGTGATATTTAAGTCTACCAAGAGCCTTGGTAGTACAGTGGTCTAAGGCACCCTGTTATTAAGCTGGTTATTAAGACCAGCTGCCTGCAATTACTGCAGGTTCGAATCTCGCCAAGGCTCAAGGTTGACTCAGCCTTCCATTCTTTCCAAGGTAGGTAAATTGAGGACCCAGTTGTGGGGGCAATAAGATGACTTTGTATAAATATACAAAAGAATGAAGGCTATTGCTTAGCGC